TGAGCCAAATTAGACCAAAACCTAGGTAGGTTTGAAGCCAGCCACCTATCTTGCTTTCGTGTTTTGATGAATTATCGTGAAGCCTGCTTTCCTGCTCTGGTGATGTCCGTCACATGACAAACAAAAGCCCAGCCAAGATTCATCGTGGTCGCAGGGCTGTGAGCCGATGACCTATTTGCACAAATCTTCAATCACAGCTCCAAGACAAACCACCTACAGCTTCCGCTGAGAGCAACTTACTAATTTCTTTCACTCGTATCTTCAAGCGAAATGAAAGGTACTCCAACATTTATCTTTTAATATAATATTCGGAATCCAGTTTTTCCACATAATTCGATTTCATTTTATGCATTTCGTGTTAGATTTTATTTAAATTTGCCTTCGGATTTACTTTAATTCAAAAAATTAATGCTTTTTCTCATTTCTTATTTTTTAGTTCATTGATCATCATGCTTTTTATTTGAGCCTTGATATTGACTTCATTCTGGACAGCTTTCGCACCTGCGTATCCTTTCTGAAGCGAGCTTGGACTAGCCCAGGTCGACCGTTACTTCTTTTTCCTGTATACCATTGGTTTTTCAGACCAGGTGCGCCTTTATACCATCTTTATACTAAATCTAATATTTTAAATGGGTTTTATATTGCGTTTTTGTTCCAATTACTCGAAAAACAGTAAGGCACTGATTATCTCTGAGGTGGATTACCTTTAGCTTCACATACTATCTAATAAAACTATGTACTTGAAACTCTGACCAAAATAATTCTATCACATATTTGATATTGGTATCCAGATTATTCGAAAAAATGGTGAAGCTTATAGGATATTGAAGTAGTTTGGCCTCGTCCTGGCAACTTGGTCGTATTGTCAGGTATCAAGTCTACGATCCAACGCTGAAAATTCTCATGGATGCTCTAGAATCCGGACGAGGTGCCTCCATCTAGGATACCCTGACAATACGACAAAATTGAAAAAACGAGGCCAATCCACTTATGCACAACACATGGAGATCGCGGCTATACCACACACCACACGATCTTGGTCTTCGCACCTTCGGTTTAACTTAAGAGATAATAGTACTCCTTAGGTAATTTATCTGCTTACAAATTTCCAAACATCTATCAACCATTTTCTTGCTTTTCATTTTACTACTTTAAAATGTCTGGCTTGGTTGATCTTTCATTCTCAACTTAGTCCAATTTGTGGATACTTCGAGGAATGCACCCAATTTGCATCCTTTTCTGTTATGTATTTTTCCAGCATTGGACCATTGAGCCGGTACATTCCCAGGCGTTTCTTCGGCTTCGCCCTCATCGGCCCCCTTATCATTGCGCTACAACTTGCCAAGTATTAGGCCAACTTCTTGACAGATTTTCTCTTCATGGTTGTAGCGTTTCTTATCATTTCTGGTACAGCACAATATCGGTGCATTGTCTGAGAATGTGCCCAGTTAACGATCCTTGCTGTAAGAATAGATGAAAGCAATGGAAGATAGCGCATTACTTTGTAATTTCTTCGATGTTTCCCTTAAAATTACCACTAAATTTCGAAAACTTTGTCAAACTTGGTCTTTACTGCGAAAGGAGAACAAAATGGTGCCATTTTTTAAGAAACTATCCTGACAAGTTTTTATGCTATCAAAATTAGCCTCTTGGAGGCATGCTCGTCCAACACTTTATTTATGAGTGAAAAAATGTACTTTAATGTGAGAAATTGAAAGGTTCGAATAGCTTTTTAAAGTTTTGAAAAATCTCTTTATGTATTGTCCTATCAGATAAAATGCATTATACTGTCGGCTAATAGAAGATGTGTAGTAAATGGATGTCATTAATCCAATTGCTTGACATAACTACCTAAGTGTATTTCTTTTTTCTTAGTTGTCGGAAATCAGCAGCCTTCAATTGTATCTACAATAAAAAAACTTCGTGCTGGATATATAAACGCAACTCGGTTAGTCCTCTTGTAGTTTTGATATTATATTTGCCTTTACATTCTTTAGATATCATTTGATATATAATTTTCTTATTTTTTAGTGTGATTATGGACACACTGAAAAATTTTGAGGAAACCTCTTGTGTTGTGAAATTGAAGTTTCTAAAGTCAGCTGGTAAGTATTTTATTTTTTATACTTAATATTTTAATGTTTTGTTAATATTTGAAAAGAATAATAGGGTTTGCTTTATGCTGGTTGTTGTTGCCAACATTTTAGCTCACGAATGCTTATATGAAGCGATATGATATAGCATGAAGTAGATTCCAACTAAGTGAAATTTAATAATATATGCTCACGATAGGATGCTGCCTGTCCTCAACGAGCTTTACGTTTATGCTTCGCATATTTGAAAGTATTTTTATTTTTAATCAGCCATTGCTTTGTTATTGCGATGATGCGACATCCGTTATTTTAATTACCATTACTTTGTATTGCATTTCAAGTCGGCATTTCGAAACATAAAAATACTACATATATCAGTCTTTTTGTTATAGGAACCTCGCGTTTAGTATACCTGCATGAAAAGCTCATGAACGTCGATTCAACTTAGTGCTTTGCTTACACTCTAGTATGCAGACTTTTAATTTATCGAGGTATATCGTAAGCAGTTGTATATAGCTGAGCAAAGTACTTTAAAACGCAATTTCACATTACTCCGCACATTACTGATCTACAAACAATCTAATTACTTCCCCTAGTTTCAGATCCAGCATTTATTAAATTTTTATCTTCTTTTAATGTGACTATTTTGCCGCTATATATACTATGTTTTTGTTGTTGTTTGTTTACCAGCTCAGTAGGCTCCTACTTTTTCCAGTAGGTAATTTTTTTAAAATCGTTGGCCCACACCTTTACGCACCGTAAAAGCCAACAAAATATCCCCCAAACCATAAAACTTTCTTATGCGGGAAAAATACGATTTTCATATTTGTTCAAGGTTAGCCCATAAAATCGAATTATTTATACTTTTAGTATTCCAAATCCACTTCGACCATCAGCTATTTGATGACAGATCGATTTGATCTTGAGTATTAGGTTACCTGGATAACGATTCCAACTTGCTTCGGTCATATTTTTTAAGAAGCCTTATTATTTTACTCTATATTATCTAACCTCTTCATATTTACCTTGTATGCCTCGTTTTTATCATTATTTTCTTTCAAATTTTGGTCCAACCACTTTTTATTTTAGAGGAAGTGTTGAGCACACGCCAAAACTCCAGTCTTCGCGTCTGTCCACCTCGTCGTTGGCTTTCGGTAAGCGGACGAGATGATGGCACTAGTGATGTGCAGAGCCTAGCCCCTAGTCCGGCTCTAGTTGGAAGCACCGCAAGTCCAGCTAGTCCAGCGACACACGCTCGTTTTTCATATTCACGACCTCCGCTCGGTCATCAAGCATCCACCGGATTCTGGATCTCGCAAGATGACGATCAACATCCTGTAACTTATGGATCTGGACATCCTGGCTCTGCGGCAGCTACAATGGCCTTCCATCGGAGTAGTATGCGGCGCAAGTCGATGGCTCTTACCTGTGCCGTTAGCCTAGATCTCGCACTCTCAGAGGAAGATGCAACAGGTTAGTGCGTTTATATTTGTTAAATGCCTGCATGGTTTATTTACTTATTTGCTTTTTTATTTTAGTCTAGTTTCTTG